CAAAATATTTTTTTTAGGTTTTATATATATACATTTGAATAACTAAAAAATCATAAGTTACTACATCAATACATAGGATTCTACTATAATTTATCAAGCTGTATTTGGGTCTAAAAACATTAAATTTTGAGCAGACTAAAGACGCAACCCATCTCTTTGAAATCTTGATTCAAAAGGATAGAATGCTGCATGTTTATTTACTGTTGGAAACACTTAATATTGGAGCCATGAAGAAGTAAAGCAAACAATTATCTCTTTGTACTCTGTTGCTGCTTGAAGTAGGTAGCTAAGCCTTTAAAAATTTGTCATGTAGAGGATATGAAACGAAATGATTTTTTTTAGGATTTATATATATATACCGTTGAATAACCAAAAAAATCATAAATTAGTACCATAGAATTCCACTATAATTTATCAAGCTTTACTTTAGTTACTTTATCTTCTTTACTGGATAAAGATCATACCTGTTCCCCTAGTAGTCTTATACCCCACAGGTGTGTCTCATATTTTAATAGTGACATACCTGCTTTTTTTCATAGTGATCGCACTCTGTTTGACTGACCCCTCCACCTTTCCTGTTTGGGATTCTAGCTTTGTGGGAGTGGAGGTAGTACCGTTTCAAAAGTTAATATTCTCTAACACTGAAAATGTATATCTGATGTGTACTTATCTCCTCTTACCCACTTCCCACTCTTCCTCCCCACTGATTTGCTGGTGTTTTCGGATTTGTATATGCTAATTCTTGAAAGTGAGGATTGTGCTGCAATGGTAAATGGAGCTACCTGTGGTAGTATAGAGGGCACAATGGGATTGGTAGAGGGTGGTCACATGATCAGCACATGTTGCTGTAATGATGCAAAAATATAGGGGTATAAAAGACTGGTGCACTGTTCATAAGATTTACGAATCTAGGGCAAATGAAGGTTGAGATAGCAATGGGTGAGAGAGGGAAAGGTACCTTTCGGAAATACATGTTCAGTGTTAGAAAATGTTAACTTTTGTCATTATACCTTTAGTTTCTGCTCATTAAAAAGATAGTGTTCTATGTGTCTAAGCTTTAATTAACAAGAAATACATTTTAAGAAATTTAAAACACTGAAATAAGAAAAACAACATTTATTCCTTATATTAGTGAAAATCTTATTGAAAATGAAGTTATGTTACAGCATCCTCTTTGTATGATAACAACTGAAAACAAAAAAATTACATCATGAGTTCAGTGAACACTACAATACAAAATGTTTTGTTTTAGTGTAAATTCATGCACAAATGAGGTTAAAATCTCAAAATGAACTGGATATAACTGTCCAGTGATTAAAAGCAAAAATTATCATCATCATAGAAACAGAATCCAATTTATCCCTGCAATATTTGTAGTTTATTCATTCTGTTAGATGCATATCTTGATGGCAGTTTAGTTGTTTTATTATTATATGTGGGACTTAAATACTAATATTTGTTAATAGTTAGGCAATTTTATGGTAGTTACAATAATTAGATATAATTTTATCAACAATTTCACAGTAAAATGTGCAAGAGGAAATACTGCTTCATATCACCATCATGTCCTGACTGTATATCAACATTTGGTTTATTTACCTGAAAAGGACAAAGAATGACTTATGTTTTTCTCTCAGTGTTTTAGTTTTCAGTTTGCTTAAAGAAGGAATATTTAACTCCTATAATCTTGAAGTCCTTTCAGCATGTTAACTTTCAGTTTACTTATGTAAAGAGTGTCTAACTTGTATAATCTTGAAATTCTCTCTCTCTCCTAGTTTGTTCACTTCCAGTTTACCTACAGAAGGATTTTTTAACTCATATAATTGTGAATTTCTTTCAGTTTATGTACAGAAGGAATGTTTAACTCTTATAGTCTTGAAGTCCTTTCTTTCAGTGTTTTAGCTTTCAGTTTGTAAACCAAATGAAGGAATGTTATTTCATACTATCCACATGTTCTTATTGTCAGAGTTTAATCTGTGCTTTGGTTTTCAAAAGAGAATGTGCAATTTAGTAATACTTCTTTGGCTTAAATCTTAATGTTTTTTATTTTATTACATACAGAGAAAAAGCAATGGAACCGCATATCATCCACATTTCTAAGTTGCGGAGAGACAGTGAGGGTGAGCAATGGATCTATGGATGTTGGTTTTATAGACCTAATGAAACTTTTCACTTGGCTACCAGGAAGTTTCTTCAGAAAGTAAGCTTTTGAAATTTATCCATTAAATCTTGTAAGCAAAGCAGAGTAGCTGAAGACATTCTCATAGTCAGTGCACCCTAAACACTTGACTGTGCTTTTTCTTCAACTTAACTCTCTCACTACAGGCGCGTTCGATTCAACTTAAAGATTGACCTCAAATTAACCCTTAGAGTTCCCATATTATAACTTCTAATACATTTTGTGTATCTTCCTGAAATTTTGCAAACTTTCAGTAAGCATTAAGAGTCATTTGTAAACAAAAAATCTGAATTTTTGATGAAGTATTTTCACTAAGATTTTCTCCATGAATATATGGAGTCAAAGTATTGACTGCTCTGAGTGCAAAGTGATTTTCATGTTAAGATTAAAAATACTTTATTTGAAAAGTCTCAAATTTCATTAGCATAATCTCTAAAACCTCCTAAATAAATTTCAAACACAGGACCTTATATCTTATCTGTTATTTTCTCTACCCTAAATATATCTGACCTATCTTGTAACCACCAAAAACAATTTGAAATAATCTAAATTACCCTTTTTCAAATTTTAACACAAAACTATATTTGTTTATTATAAATAGCTTTAAACTCAAAACAGTATACATCTGTTTCTACTTAATTTTATTGTTCTATTGCCCTTTGAACTGTGTCTAACTAGTATTCCTGACACACAAGTTGGAAATCACTTGACAAATGGGTAGCTCACATTACCCTATCAAATTGCATAACACATGTGCTAATGGTACTTCTGCACAAGATAATTTTTTATTTAATTAAGTAATGCACCAAAGAACAGAGAATAATAACATGCAAAAAGCAGACAATGTCCTGTAACTATCACAACTTTTGTAACTATGCAACAAGAGCCATTAAAAATTCAGCTAAGCTTGTGAATATGTTTCCCATGGAAATAAAGCTTGAACTGGAAGCAAAATAAACAATTATCTGTACAGCAAACAACATAATATAATATCTCATTTGATTGATTAAAACTTTGGTTTTTTATTGGTTATAAATGATCTAGTATTAAATATCAGAGAGAACTATTGGCAATTACTGAAAGAGAGGATGTGACACGTGGGCTCTGGTTTTCTGTTTTATGGCTCTGTAACCAAATAAGACTGAAAGCTATAAAAATTGCTTTGTTTGAGTGATGAAAATATTATAATGAGTAATTTAGATTAAATTCCATGCTTCTCAGAGGTTTGGTAAATATATTAGGGAGGAGGGTATACTTGGAGAGCAATTGTCAGAATTGTAATACTAGGGAAAATTCAGGATTTGTTTTTAATAATACATTATAAAACTAAGAACTTAAAACTTATATGATATTAAAATATGGATTATTAGCTACAATTTTGTACCTAGTTTATTCATATACCATGATAAGAAAGTAATTATTATTAAATTTTAAATGTAATTCCATAAAACCTTGTGACATGCGCAGAAAAGGATGCCTGTAGTAGAGGGTTAAAAAAAGTTGTTAAAAATGCCATTTCTGAGCTATGTAAATTTTATTGTACATAAATATAATCATATGTATATACATGTGTATGTGTCATCAAAATGTTAAAAGATAATTTCTAGAATTTGAAAAATGTAGTCATCAACACCATCGTGTAATTTGTAGTTCTAAAAGTTTTCTTAATGAACTCTGAATTCAAATTAGACTTTGAAATCCTTTGGTGTGAAAACTGAATTAGCTAGTAAGCAAGTAACTAATTTACTGTTTGAGTCAAGTTAAGTATCGGTGGTACTTAATAGTAGGGATCGTGATGAAACAAAATAGCAGCCATAAAAATGTTTGAATATTAACAATGACTATTTCATAGTATTGGCTGAACAAAACTAAAGTTTATTGTACTTATAAAGCTACCTAAATCGCTATATACATGTGCATTGAGTGAATCAAAATGTTAATCTGAGTAAATAAGTAAGTGACTTTTCCAGACAAGCATACAGAAAAAATGACAAACTTTATTGCTTTAATTTTTTCATATAACTCTTCTGTCTTGGGTCCCATTCATTCCTTTCTTGTACTGAAAAGGATACTAGTTAAATGGACGATGTGCTACTTTGGGCATATAATTAGATTTGTGGGAAGGTTGGAAGAGATTCTGATGAATAATATAATTGAATCAGGTATATGTGTACCCAAAGCTTGGTATTGCTGGTGCACAAAATATAACTAATAAAAAGGAAACAAACAAGTATAATAATAAAATTTCAATTTTATATTAACAAGTAGGGATGATGTATACATAACTTAGCTAACTAAAGTAATATAGAATGTTTTAATGCAAGAAGTGTTGAAACAAGCAAGTTAAAACTACAAAAACTGAGTTACTTGAAATTTAGAAATTTTTATCCCTACTTTGGCCAATTACTATAATTATCTTAGTCTGGGCCAAAGTAGGGATAAATTTATAATTTTTATAGTTTTGTTTCAATACTTTTTGTAGCATTAAAACTTTCTATATTACTATAGCTACCTAGGTTACGTATATATATATATATCGATTCCTACTTGTCTATAAATTTAAAAAAAGTTTTATTATACTTGTAAATATTTACACTTGTGCCTGCTTAATTATCATTTGGAAGTGGTATTCTTACACAAGCTAGCTGGATATACTCTATTCTGATAGTAGAAGATTTTACAAATCTCCATTGTTTTCTTCTAGTCTAAGTCATAGTTTTAGTGTAGTCGGAAGTGGGCGGAATATATTTACTGCATATGCAGGACCTCTAGATGGAAGAATTTATTCAACAATAACCTCTATCATTGCTTTCACAGAAAAAAAAATAAAGGAATATTTAAAAGTTTATCTGTAGAGTAGAAGTTGTGGTGAAGAAATAGTACTTTTGTTTTGTAATATTGTCTATAAAGCTCAATTCCTTAAAGTATTTTCATTTTAAACATTGGTGTTGCCTAATATCTGCTGTTATTGAAAAATTCTTTAATACACATATATTTTAAAAGAACTTATTTGATATTCAAGACATTTTTTGTAGCTAAAAAAAAGTTATAGAGCAATCTGTTGAAAAACATATATGAATAGTGTAACAGAGTTTGTACCTTTTTTTTGAGAAGGCTGAACAACCATTTTCAAAACATCATCAGTTGTCAAGTTCTTGATACATACAAAGGTGTTTTTAAGAGCTTTTGAGCTGGGTTTTATTACTTAACAGGTAGGTCATGCTCCATAGTAAACCCTGTAGTATATCAGTTAGATTAACATTTCTAATGTATAGAAAACCCAGTGAATTTTGGTAACAATGCATTTCAACATTGGATTTTATGTCATGTTGCTTAGCAACAAAAGTATAACATAATATTGTTCTCAGTCTATGTACTGCAAATACATTATAAAATGTATAAACAACAAAACTGGAAAAATATTTATTGATTTCTTAATTTAGAGTTTCCATTGAATAAAGAGGTATGTTTTTTATTAAAAACGTTGGGGATATAACAGAAAATACCTTAATTGAGAAACTATTTATATTTCAAATTGGTTCGATATTTTTACTTTCATGATAAATTTTATGCACTTGCTGAAATATATTAACTTAATAACCTGTGCGAAGCCAGATACTTTCACTAGTTGCCAATAATTCTGTCCGATGTTTTATACTATATCATTTATAACCAATAAAAAGGCAATATTTTGTTTTGATCTATCACATGATGTATAATATTACATTATTTTCAGTACAGAATATTGTCAATTTCATATTCAGTTTGAATCTTGTAGTGTTCAAATCGAGCAGCAAAGGGAATTAACTTAAGTCCTTCTTGTCTTAAATTATAATAGTTATAGGACATTACTTGCTTTGTGCGTGTTATTATTCTTTATTCTTAGGTGCATTATTTAAGTAAATAAAAATTACTTAGTGTTACTAGTACCATCATTATTAAAAAGTACACATAAATTCCATTGGCAACCAACAAAAAAAAACATGATGTCAAAGGTAAGTAATTTTCTTTATTTACTTTTATAAAAGTAACTAAAATGTAAAAATTAGAATATATAATATAATTCTTCACAAGGTATGCTCACGAGCAGCTAGTACATTATATCATTCAATATGGTAACATGAGCTACATGTTTGCCGAGTGATTTACAACTTGTGTTTTGGGGTTATTAGTTAGACATGTTTCAAAAGGCAATAAAATAATAAAATTAAGCATAAACAGGTGTAGTCTGTTATGAGCCTTAAGCTATTTAGGATAAATATTTGTAGGTTCCTGTTAAAAGTCTTTTTTACACAGAAAATCAGATTTCTCATCTAAGTATTTTTGATAAAGATTTGTCTGTGAATATATGGAGTCAGAGCTTTGACTGCTCTGAGTGCAAAGTGATTTTCATGTTAAGATTAAAAACAATTTTCATCACCTGAAAATGATCATATGTCATTTGCATAACCTTAAGAACCTCCTAAATAAATGTCAAACGTTTTTTTGTTTTTTTTTTCAGTAACAACTATATTTTATCTGTTATTTTCTATACCTTAACTGTACAGACTCAGATGGTTTGACTGACAGTGTAATTACCATAAAGAATACAAAATCTAAATTTCTCTTGTTTTCTTTCTAGAATGACTGCAGATTGTAACATAAAACTACAATTGTTTATACTTAGTTTATTGCCTTTTGAACCATTCTATCTAATAATTCTGCCACATAAGTTGTAAATCACTTGGCAAACTTATAGCTCACGTTAACGTATTCAGTGATATAATGTGAGCTGCTTGTTAGCATACATCTTAAAGAATTTTATTATTTTTTTATTATTATCTTACTTAATCTAATCTAAGTCTCTATTTTTTACATTTATAACAATAAATAAAGAATGTGCATGAAAAATAAAAAATGTAGTACTTACCTTTTGCTGTTTTTTGCTGATGAAATTTAAGCCTATGTTTTTTATAATGATAGTACTGGTACACTAAATAATTTTTATTTAATCAAATAATGCACCTAAGAACACAGAATAATAATATTCACAAAGTGAATGGTGTCCAGTAACTTATAATTTAACTAGCTTTCTAACTAAGACAAGAGGAGCTTAAATTAATTCCTTTTGTTGCTCTATCTGAACACTATGAGATAACCTGAAGACAAATTTGGAAATACACTGTACCAAAAACAACGTAACATTATGCATCATTCGATAGATGTAAACTCCCTTTTTATTCCTTATAAATGATATAGTATAAATGGCAAAGAAAATTATTGGCAATTTATGAAAGAGAGGAAGTGACAGGTGAGTGTAGCATGTCTGATTTTCTGGTTTGACTCTGTAAACAAATAATATTTTGAAGGTTATAAAAATTAGACTTTACCTTTGTAATATCTATATTATAATGAGTAATTTACATTAAATTCTATACTTCAGAAAGAGGTGGTAAATAAACTAGAGAACAAATATCACAATTCTCATACTAGGGTAGATTGAGGAATGTTTTAAATATTTCCTTATAATATTAAGAACTTAAAACTTGTATTAAAATTTGATGTATTAATTATGTTTGGATGCCAAGTTTATTTGTATATATTGATAATAAAGTAATTTAAATTTTGAATGTAACTTTACAAAAGGTTGTGGCATGCACACTTTAACCTAGATGTTGCAAGGGTTTTAAAATGTTATTGTGAATCCATTTCTTTTTCTTATGCTAAGTCTGATTCATGCTTGTTTGTTTTAGGAAGTTTTCAAAAGTGACAACTACAACAGTACTCCACTTAATCAAGTCCTGGGGAAATGTTATGTCATGTTTGTTAAAGAATATTTCAAACTGAAACCAGAGGTAAGTTTTAAAAAAAATTAAAGCAAAACTTTAAAAACAAAATATTTCTGAAAAATGTTCAAGTTCAACCTTTAAGTTAGAAATGAGTATTTAATTTTAAGTGGGAACTGTATTTGTTGTGAAGTGTACTATTATAAAACAGGAGTTTTTAACTATTTGTTTAACTTTTTCCTTTGTTTTTATTTTATGTACTTAATGTGTACTTAAATTTATTATGTTTATGTTATTGTATTTACTTACTTGAAGAATGATTATCTAGATTTATTTTTTGCACAAAAGCCTTGACAAGATACAGTTCTGTTTTCTGTTTGGTAACTTTTAGATTCTAAAAATACAGGTTTGTGTTGAAGTCACTCAGCAACATATCTTTGTTATACACATTGCTGATATGGTAAGATATGTATAAAATTTAGAAATGTTTCAGTATGAGGTGTCAATTCAAGCTTTGTTTTCATTATTAAGTTCAACTGAAGTTTAATTGTATAATATTTTATTATTTAATTCTCTTGCTGTGGGCTTTGTCAAATCAGGTGAGTTTTTGACCCCAAGTTGACCTTTACAGTTTTAATACTAAACTTTTAATGTTTTGTGTATCTTCACGAAATTTCTCAAGTTTTCAGTAATCATTAACAGTCATTTGCAGACAAAAAAAATCACAATTTTTAATGAAGTGCTTTCACCAAAAATTTCTTCATGAATATAGGGAGACAAAGTATTGATTGCTCTGATTGCAAAGTAATTTTCATGTTAAGATTAAAGATACTTTTCTTTATCTGAAAAATCTCAAATTTCTTTTGCATAATCTCTAAAACCTCCTAAATGAATTTAAAACGTTTTTTGAGTAAAATTTTATAGTAATTTTCTCTACCCTAACTCTATAAGAGGTTGGTCAATTGGACTGACTTTGTAATCACGAAGAAAAATTTAAATACATCTAAATTCCCCTTTTTTTTTCTTTCTAGAATGGCTTCAAATTATAAATAAAACTACATTTGTTTATCCTAAATAGATTTAAACTTGTAATAATACTTAAATTTTATTGTTTTATTGCCCTTTGAACTGTGTCTAACTAATATTTGTGCCATATAAGATGTAACTCACTCTTCCCTATCGAATTACACAATGCACGATCTATCGTGAGCATACCTCGTGAAAAATTTATTATTATTGTTATTTATTTTACCTACTCTAACCTTTCAGTTACTTTTATAATAATAAATAAAGAACACATGATAATCAAGAAATAAGGTACTTACTTGAGTAATCGTCTTCTTTTTTGCTGTCAACTGTTTAGGACACTTAACCCTACTTTTCTATGCTAATGGTACTACTGCACTAAATAATTTTTTATCTAATTAAATAATGCACCTAAGAACACAGAATAATAACATGCTAAGAGCAGACAATGTTCTGTCACTGTTACAATTTTTCTAGCTTTATAGCTATGCGACAAGAACCATTAAAAATTCAGCTAAGCTGTGGGAATAAATTTTGAACTGGAAACAAAATAGTCGATTCTCTGTACCAAAAACAATATAATATAATATATTATCTGATAGAATAAATCCTTGGCTTTCTATTGGTTATAAATAATATAATATTATACATCAGAGAGAATGTGTCAGGTGGAAGTGGCAAGAGGGATCTGATTTTCTATTTTGTCACTCTGTAACTGCATAAGATTGAAGACTATAAAAATTATGCTTTGTCTGAATGATGACAACATTATATTGGGTAATTTACATTAAATTTTGTACTTCTTGGAGGTTTGGTAAATTTATTAGAGAAGAGTGGATGCCTAGAGATAAAATGTCACAATTCTCATACTAGAGGAAATTCGGGATTTTTTTTTAATATTGTGTAATAATATTGGGAGCTTAAAACTTGTATATAATTAAAACTTGAATTATTAGCTATGTTTTTATGCTAAATGTTTTTTTATGCTGTGATAAGAAAGTAGTTTAATTAAATTTTGAATGCAACTCACTAAAACCTCATGACATGTGCAGAAAAAGATGCCTATAGCAAAAGTGTTAAGATATGTATATCATTGAAATTTGAGCTGAATGAAATTTATCTAATGTCTTAAACTCTAGCCCATTGCATCTCACTAAGCTATTTCATTTTACTGTTGAAAAGTAAAACTGTATTTTGTAATCTTGACTAAGCTGATGTGTACCTTTGAAAGCAAGAAGTGTGTTCAAACAAGCTTTTATCTGTGTCTTGGATAAGATATTTTGGAGTTTAAATGTTATAAAGTTAATAATTTTTTTAAACTTAAATAAGCAATTGTTTCTGCCCTTTTTAATGCACCGTTCTAAACATTGTAGAATGATAGAGTAATGCATAAATAATTTTTTCAAACAGCATCATGTTTGATTTATTATTAATTAAATACAAACTACCTCAGAATGAAGCTATTTATCTCTTTTTCCATTTATGCTGTGACACCATTCTGAATGTGCACATTCATCTGGCCAAGATTCTGGCCACATTTATACATGTCAGGAAAAGAAAAAAGGTTCTTTAGTAATAAATATTTCATTACTTGATGTTTGAATTTATTCAAAATAATATTTGGCTGCTGATCTTACCAAAACATTTTATAATGCAACTTGAATTGGCTCTTGAATTGCTGTCACATTTACAGATTACCCAAACAGCTTAGAAAAAGAAATAATAATGAAAAATAATCCTTAATGTTTTATATATAATATCAGCATTCTGTTGGGAAGATTAATATTCTTTAAATTTATGATTTTAAGATAATATCCTGATGTTTAAAAGTCAAATGTATCTCAGTATAAGCTGTTCTCTGTTTTTGATGTTTAGAGTCATATTGAGATAAGCTGTTATATTTCTATTGAAATAAAGTTTCTGTGTGTATATATATATATATATCCTGATACAGTCTTTCCTCCTATCATACAAATCAATCTCGAACGTCTTTCTGCATTGCTAAAAAATTTTTTATGCTCAGCACACCAGTCTACATACCCCACCCATTTCATGCCATTATTGAACATGTACGTATCATGTAACTACTTTCCACCAGTAGTATTGTGCCACCTATATTGGCACAGCCAGCTCCCTCTGCTATTTCTACTCAGTCCTCACTTTCTTGATTGGCACAGTTTTGTTTAGACGTGTGTTATTTTGCATATGGCTACCATTTATGATTGTGTTTCCTTGCCATTTCAAATTTATTTTTCAACAGTTTTATTTTACTGTGTTTGCATTCAATTATTTCATCATTATTATAATTTTTTTACATTTGTTTCTTGTTAGTAAATTATACGAGAACTTTCTATGAATTCGCTGTTCCATATATCAACTACAGTAGTTCCCATTATAGTTGACAGTGCTACTGGTATGACTTCCCAGGAATTGACTTTATTTGTAGAGGTGATACAGGCCTTAAATCACAGGGAGCTAGATTCATATGTTCAGCCAGTGATTTCTTCTCCTTTTCAACCTGACAATGTTGCTGAGGAAGAACACAATCAAGAAGGCAATTTGGACTTTTTTTTTTTCTGGCATCATCTTATTTTGGTCTGTTACACTCTACACCTCTTCAGGAGATTTCACCTTCCACACCCTTTATACAGTTGGTTACTCAGGTGAACGGTCAATGCATATTCAGTTTTTCTGTATGTTCAAGATGAAGGTGATTTATCTAGTTTGTTTGTTTTTTTCCTGCTTCTGTTTCCTTGCCTCCTCATCATTCACTTTCGTGGAGGTTTGTTCTTCTCCTCCTTTCTTCCTATTGCTTGCAGATGTCCAAGTGGATCGGTGGTAAGTTTTTTTACTTCTAATCTTCACACCTAGTTGTGAAACCCATGGTAGGCATGGCTCAGATGCCCTTTGTGTGTCTTTGTCCTTCTTTACACACGGGAGTATTAAGTATTTCACTTCATCAGTGCTCAGACTTTGGTAAGTTAGATATTTATGTGTCCTTTTCCATCTGACTTAATTTAGATTTATTGTAAGTTAGATATTGATTATTACTTTGCTTTCTAGGTAAATTTCAATGGCTTGTCAGTTCAATATTAATAAGTACTTTGTTAACTAGGTATGTTTAAATAGTTTGTATTTTACATATCATTCCTACTAGTAACATCTAATTCATTGTTCTGAGCAACTTTTTTTGTCATTGTTGAATATGTGTCTTATAATCCTAATTTTCATCGGTGTAAGACTTAATTTTTTTGTATTGCAATATTAATATGTACTTTATTAACTAGGTATGTTTAAATAGTTTGTATTTTACATATCATTCCTACTAGTAACATCTAATTCATTGTTCTATCTGAGTAATTTTTTCGTCATTGTTGAATATGTGCCTTATAATCCTAATTTTCATTGGTGGAAGCCTTAATTTTTTTGCATTGCTGATGTGTTGATTTATTTCCCATTTGTAGGGCTGAGCTTTGCTTCAGCTCCATTTCCAACGTTCTTGACACTAGAAACCAATTTTTCTACTCACACTCTACAGTTCAGGGTTCATCCCCACAGTCCCCACATCGTTGATAGCTGTTTATTGCTTAGAAGTCAAGTGTTCCAGTTTAGGTCCTTACTGTTTGGACTAACCTTGGCTCCTTATGTGTTTTTGTCAAGTAGTAAGGACTTTTGCCCGACATCTTCACTCAGTAGGACTTTGCATTCATCATTAAAATGAAAGACTGACTCCTGCTCGCTTTTTCCCATTCACAGTCCAGAGACCACACTTGTCTACTCCAACAAGAAACAGCACTAGTGGAATTCCTGGTAAAGGTGGAAAAGTCCGTTCTTACCCCCACTCGGTACCTTGTTCATTTGGAGGTTTTCTTCAATTCCAACCTCAGTCAGGTCCAGCCTTCTCCTATTCATCTTCAGAATATGGAGCAAGCAGTCCACAAGGACCTCACTTCACATTCTCTCGTAGCTCCAAAGGTTCTATCTCTTTTGGGATGTGAACTTCCTTGTAAGCTTTCATTCCCATGTGTCAAACTCATATGCATCCCCTTCAGTGGACACTCCTCAATCAGTGGAACATCTACTCAGATTCCTTGGGCAGACCTGGTTACTAAACAAAGACCAGACAACAATGGGAGCTCCACATCCTCCACCTTATCTGGATTTACATCTGTTCACAGATGCATCTTTAGAGAGGTTGAGGTGCTTACCTCAAAGCATGGGAGATTTCCACTCTCTGGTCGGTCGAGAAATCTTTTCTCCATATCAACATTCTCGAACCTATTGCAGTTCATTGAACTTTGTTCCACTGCATTCCTCTCCTGTGGTGAATGGTGGTTATGGTACATTCCGACAACTCCACAGTGGTCATTTGTATCACCAAATCCAGGCCTATGTGCTTTCAGATCCTGGACCTACTTTTCTTGTCCCACAGTCACCACATGGTGGCCTTAGCTTGCCATGGTCTTGGCACCCTGAATCTAGTTGCAGATTGGTTATCTCAACCCAACAAGATTTTCCCTACAAAGTGGTCCCACAATCCACAGGTCTTTCAGTGGGTATGTTCTCAGCTGGGAACACCTTATATCAATGCTTTTGCCACCCACTGGATCACCAAACTTCCTTTCTTTTGGTATCCTGTTTCACACCCACTAGCTATGGAGTTAAGATTGGAGGGGTCATTACATCTATGCTTCACCTCCTATTCTACTCCTCCCCAGAGTTCTATCCTTAATACAAACCACTCCCTGTGTAGTCCAACTGGTAGCTCCATTTTGGCTGGTGCAGCCATGTTTCCCACTGCTACTTCGACCTTTACTTGTACAACCTCTCCTCCCTTTGCCTCTTTCTCGGTCTTTACTCCATCAACCTTAGTCGGACATCATTCATCCAGACGTATCCACCCTCCATCTTCATGCATGGCTTTTGTTCAGTCCATTGCCTCAGCCAGGGTCTGACTCCATGTGTTGCATCTTTCCTTCTAGATCCATCAAACCTTCTTCCATATCCATTCACCAAAGGTGATGGTCTACCTTCCACCTTTGGTCTCTTCAATGTGGTTTCCTTTCTTCCCACTCTTCTGTTCCTCATCTTTCCCAATTCTTCACTTGGTTGACAAAGGCTTGTCTACTTTGACTGTGTCTAGCTATCAAGCATCCTTGTCAAACACCTTCAATTTCTTCAGTTTCATAAGGTTTTGTCTTCCCCTAGTCATTTCCACTCCTTTCAGGTCGTGCATCTTCCACGTTCCATTGATTTACGTGATTGCCATCTTAGTGTGGTCCTTTATACCCTTTCCAGTGTGCCCTTGAACCTTTTTCGACTTTTTCCGTATACCATCTCTCCATTAAGATCTATTTCCTTCTCCTCCTTGCTTGCAGAAATCTCAATCAGATATATATATGCCATTAATGTTATCAGAATCCTCTATCATTCCAATGCTTAGAGAGCAGAAAGAAGATTGAGGTAGTTTTGTATGAGAAAGGTAAGTACATGTTGGAAACACATTTTCAGTGTAAGAAAATGTTAATATAGTATCAATTTAATATAGTAGATGTGTTAAATGACACTTTTAAAATGTATTTCAATAAATTTAACCTAGTTGTGTTACCTTGTTGAATGACTTTCTGTTTCATTGGATTGGCTATATACTTGTCACTTCTACTTACTGCTTACCTGCCTTTTGCAATATTCAAACTTCTTAGAAACTACAACTGAAAAGAATATGTTAACAGCCCTTGTGCATTGTTTAACAGGGGCTGTTTACATGACCATCTATATTTCAAATATAGAGCACTGTGATATGCATTATCTATTAATTTGTCATTCTTAAAATCACTGTGTTTGTAAAATGTTAACTTCTGTTTTGATTCCTCAGAATAATTTAACGAACATCATTAATTTGTTTTCCAACCTCGGGTATCAGTGAGTTGTTAATATTTAACAACAATGTATTTTGGTAGTAATAGATATTATTTGTGTTGGTAACTTCTTAAATTCTTACTTTCTTTAGGGGTTTGATGACAAAGATGTATATGTTTGTGAATCTCGTTATTCTGCTAAAGTTAAAGCTTTCAAAAAAATAAAGGTAAGATTGTTTTGAATAACTGCTGCAAAATAATTTGTAAGTAATAGGTCTGTTGAAAGATTAAAATTGAAGATTAAAAAATTTAATGAGACTAAAATTGTAAAACTTTAGGGTCATTTAATTCTACGATGATGTTATAGCTAGATATTAAGGGTAACTGCCCTCCCACAACTGGCTGCAGACAACGAAAGGCAGATGGATTTGAGATGTTGTGAGCTGAAGTACGCAACTCCCAACCCTTAACTGATTCTCCTTCGTTGCTGGTGAGTTTTTCATTGGTGTAGAGATCTTGTCTAATAGATGGAATATACCCAATGCATTTGGGTGCTATGACCACAAACATTATCCATTATGATTTAAGGATGACCCACAAGGATTGGTAATGGAAGAATTATTTGGAATTTTAGTCTCATTATAATGTTTTTGTTTTGTATTATTTTCATTATTGTTTTATAGTGCTGATTTTAATTGCCTATGGACAAATAATGTACTTCATAGTATAATATATATATACATATATTGAATTTTATATATATATATATATATATATATATATATATATATAAACATTCAGCTCGTGGTCTTTGAAGAACACTAATAAATTATTTTTACATAATATAAAGATAATATGTGATGTTTGGCTATCATCCTGGTTGTTAATGCTAAGTATAACTTGTTGTTTACTATCCCTCCAGATCTCTTTAACTCAATAATTATAGCCTGTTTTCTCTTTCCATTTCTTCAGTTCAGTAATTACTGAAGGATACAATTTTATCTTTTAAGTTTCATAGCTCAGCTATTTTTAATTATAAAATATTTTCATGCCACTTCAGATCTGGAGCTTCACTCCAAATGAATACATTCAAATTGTTTCTCGAGAAGAACCACTACCAATTGTCCGTGTTCCATCTGTGTTTAAGGATGGTGTAGAAAGATTCAAGGAGGAAAGCATGGATTATGATGACACAGACTTGAAGGTTATTGAAAGACAGAAACCAGTATGTTTGTGTTTTGTAAATTACTAGTGAATGTACCTAGCTTTGCTCTGGTTATTAGGTTGATATATTCTAGATGAATATGTCAGTGTGTGTATTCTGAACCCATTTTAGCATAAAAGTATAATCGAAGCAACATGACATAAAAGCCATTGTTGAAATGCATTGTTACCAAAACATACTAGCTTTTCTGTATATTAGAAGCTGTTATGTAAGGAAGCACTTCTTTTCTATGTGGTTTTTTTGCTGGTTTGCCTGATTAAAAAGATGCACGCACCTGTGTGTCTGTCTTTCTGTGATTTCTATTTGTAATATATGGAATCACTTCTTTTTATGTGTTTTTTTTTGCTAGCTTTCCTCATTAAAAAGATCTGCATGCGTGCACACACATGGATAACTTTATTAAAAAGATGCACATGTGTGCACGCACATTTCTTTACTGTTTTTTTTTTGCATAAAAAGATATGTGCATGCACACAGATAAGTAATAATACCCAGGTGCACACCCTCAGGGTCTACTTAGTATAGGTGCAAAATTTCAGGTTTCTAGGTTCTTCCTTCTTGGAGCTATGGTGGTCACATTTCTTTTCTGTGTGTTTTTGGCATAAAAGATGCGCATTCATGCACGCATATAGTTATGTAATAATATCCAGGTGTAAACCATCAGGGTCCACCTAGTTTGGTTGCAAAATTTCAGGTTTTTAGGGTTTTTTTCTTGGAGTTTTGGAGTTATGGTAGTCACACATACAGAGAGGTGCATGCACACACATACATGTCTATTTGTCTGAGATTTCTATTTGTAATATAAAGAGCCAGTTCTTTTCTATGTTTTTTTTTTTTTGCTAACTTGCCTCATTAAAAAGATGTACATTATGAGCGTGCACATGTACATGCACTTTTCTCTGTGATTTTTCACATAAAAAAGTGCACATGTGCGTACACACATGGATAAGTATTAATAATACCCAGGTGCAAACCCTCAGGGTCCACTTAGTACGGGTGCAAAATTTCAGGTTTCTAGGTTCTTTTCTCTTGGAGCTATGGTGAGCACATTTCTTTTCTATATAATTTTCATATAAAAAGATGCGTGCATGCAAGTGGATATGTAATAATACCCAGGTGCACACCCTTAGGGTCCATTTAGTATGTGTGAAACATTTCAGGTTTCTAGGTTCTTTCCTCTTGGAACTATGGCAGTCACACACTTTTATTATTATAGATTACATATAGTCAATGCTATGTTGTTCAAGTTGTTAAAGTTAAAGCTTTCAGTAAAATAAAGATAATATTCTACCAAATACTAGTTAAGCCAAGCTGTCTTTAATGGACTAATATTAATCAGTTTTATTTATTTTAGCAAAATATACTAAATCTGAACTATAATAATGTGATTATACTGCTTAATTTGAGTAGATATTTATTAGGATAAACCTGGCATACTTTTTATCTATAACTATTTCAAAGTGAATATATATCACCACAAGAATTGTCAAGGTTTTATTTATCATTTAAATTATTGGTTTTGAAAAAGCTTGTCATTAAGTAGCAACAGAAAATATCTAAATATGTCTTATTGTGGCTATTACATATAACAAAGGTGTAAGATGTCATTCTTCTGAAATGATATAGAATTCTTTTTACTTTTACCTTCATCAGAATATTCTTTGTGAGACCCAAAATGAAGGAGATTCTAAGATATATTATGAACAGTTCAGTATCCCATCTGGAGCATATAAACTAGGTAATTTCTAGGTTTATTCTCTTTACATAGCACATTGTAAATATTAGTATTTTTAATATTGTATTTTAATTTCAGTAGAACCTTTCTATTATTATGTTTTGCTCTTCTGTTGTCATAAGTAATTTTTCATTGAAACTACCAATAAGCTATTTTTGTAGATGATAAACTAATAAAGAGAAAGATTGGAAAATAGATATATAAAAATATAATATTCACTCTGTATCCTAGGTTATTTTACATTGTTTTGGGTTTATAGGAATTAGCATTTATTCATAAAATTCAATACATTTTTAAAATCTTTAAGGAATTTTATAATTTTTTTTGGGCATCAATGAACATTTTGTTTAAAGTTATCCACTTTGGACTTGATACAGGTGATTGTTGCTATGTACGTACAGAACAGGGTCGAACATTGATAGGAAAGATTGATCAGATGTGGGTGGACAAGGAAAGGTGAAGCATTTTTTTCTTTTTGGCCCAATGAAATAAAACTTATTTACAAGATTAATATCATGAATGGTTTTACATGTATAATGAACAGTAATTTCTGTTTGTTTCACATTAAATATAAATGTTACAGTTGTGAATTGCAATAGTCACTTCTTTCCATATCTTTCACGAGTATTTAAATTTCAAAATTTTAAATATAAATTATCTAGATATTTAAGTTCTTTTTTACCATAGAAAATGCTAGTTTAGATTATGCTTAAGTTGTAGAATTCTATTAAGAACTAAATACATAATTCAAGCTTCTTAACTTAGGTGTTATGAGTTAGCGAAATGTTACCTGACATCCATAAAACATAGTTAGAATACTAGAATGAATTGTTTACAGCAGTGAGTAAAAATCAGTATGCTTACCTGTTGCTTGGTGATTTAACAGTGGACATGCCTATTTCCATGGGCCTTGGTTTGTTACTCCACAAGAAGTTCAACATCCTCTCAACAGGTTATTCTACCGCCAGGAAGTCTTCCTAAGCTCTATTGAAGACACCAACCCTTTACTGAGTGTTGTAGCCCGCTGTGCTGTTTTAGATGTAAAGGATTACATTGTCTGTAAGAATTTTTTGATATTACATGACAAAACTTGTGAAAAGGTTAACAAATGTAAATAATGCTCAACTGAAATAATTATGGAGATATTGCAAGGTGTTTCTTCTAGTGAAAATGCATAAGAAAATAAATATTAATACATAAATTTAAATGTAAAAAACATGCAATGTGGATGAACATCTTCCCTTAACCCTATGAATACGCGCTGGGTGGGATCCAGCGTATCTTTACAAAATTTTATTACAGATTATTAGTAAACATTATGAGGCTTTCATACACAAAATATCAGGTTTTTAAATTAAAATTAAGATTTTTTTCTTACTAAAAATTTGCTTGTTAATTTTTCTTTCAGAATGTTGATTATCCAATGTGCAAAGTAATTTTGATTTTAAGGTTAAAAATACTTTTTTTTATATAAAAATTGTCAAGTTTCATTTGCATATAATCTCCATGTCCTTTTTTTTTTGAGTAATAAAACTTTATATTTAATCTGTTATTTTAGCAATGGTAACTCTATATGGTGTTGGTCGATTTGACTGACCTCATAACCATCATAAAAATTAGGAAATAAATCTAAATTACCTTTATTTTTGTTTTAGAATAACTGACAATTGTAACAGGAATCCATTCCACGTTAACCTTAATGACTAGTGTAACACACAAGCTATAGGCACAAAAAATACTTGTTATTAAATATCCAACATATTTATTTTTATTTTCAGTAAAGCTTTATAATTTATCTGTTATTTATTTTACTGTATCATAATACTTGATTCTCCAGGTTGTAGATAAGTAATCAAAGTATAATGAAAAGTTGCAAAGTACTTATGGTTAGAGTTTACATTTGTCACCTTTTCACACTTATTTTCTGTAGTTGTTTCATTGCTAGCAGATGGCTTATAAACTAGAAGAAACAAAATGAGTCTGACCTTTTCATTATGGACAATGAAGTTCCAAAATAAATCTCCCGAGAGTTTCTTCTGATTTTTTACACCTATTCCTTCTGTTTATTCTACTGTTAGTGTTTGAAGTAGAAACCCGCTGAATATAAAGCAGTGAATCACCATTCCTCTGTAGGTGTTACCGTATTTTGACATTATCTGTATCAAATAAGCTTTTGTGGCACAATTCTCAAAACTTTTCCGGCTCTGAAAACACGGTGGGCTATGATTTATCAATTTGTTGACAGTATAATGGTTACAACAAGAATTGTCTAAAGTATTATAAAATGTTTATGTTATGGCTTTGTATAAAATCTGAGCTGATCCAATGAACTTGGTACGTATATGAATGTTGGTCAATAAGCGGACGTTTCCTAAGGTGTATATTTGAATACCGGCTCTGAAAACACAGTGGGGTAGCATTTATTAGCTTGTTTATGCAGTACAGTAGTTGCAACAAGAATTGGCTGAAGTACTATATAGAATTGAGAGAAAATATTCCGATCCAATAAACTTGGGTAGTCCAGATTTAGTGGTAATATAGGTGTGAAAGTGCTTAAAAACATACTGTTTTTTATTTACCACGTGCTTACACAGTTATCAATAAATACATAGTTTCCAATATTTTGTAAGGTACAGTGAGGTTTCAGTTACCATAGATTACATATGTGTGTGTGTGTGTGTGTGTGTGTATATATATATATATATATATATATATATTAATGCTATTTACAAATAGATATTTAAATTTCATTTATCTTTTTTTAAACATAGAACAGTAAATACAAAATATTCAGAAAACAACAATCTCCACTTTTTACGATGTTTTGAAGTTCTTTTTTTACACTCGTGAGTTGTACTTGCTACCCCTCATCGTAAGCCTTGTCCAAATTCACATGTCAATGTAGAAAAAAGTAATTTTTGTAGACTTTATATATGCATTTTTGAATACCAAAAAGTTATAAATGACTATACCGATACCACAAAAATCTATTACAATTTACCAGGTTTCCTAACTATGCTGTATTTGGTTCTAAAAAAATTTAATTTCTATTTGGAAAATAGCATTGATCATAATACTTCAAACTCTCCAAGAATATAAGAGCTTTTCTCTTATAAATTACTTTGAAAGACTAACAGAATTACTTAGATGAAATGTAAAGCTTTTGATTGGTTATAAACTTATAGGTATACAAAAGTAGACATAGATATACAAGTTTTCTAAAATGATGAAGTGGTGGATGGAGCCAATATGATGGATTCGATAGATATTATGATATCTCAGCAAATAGAAAAGATATGAGGTTTTTATTTTATATTCTGGCTTACCAGTATTGGAAATTTGAGTTTATAATTCATATGAAACTATAGACCATGTATTGTGAGCATCATAAAATGTAGTCTGACCAAACCCAGAAGATGACGTACCAGTGTGACCCACAAAAATCGACATTTAGCAATTTGTTTTCATATTTACTTTAAAATTGAGAAATTAACTAATATATACTACTAAAATTTGAAGTAAAATCTACAATTTGATACCAAGTTTATTGACATACATTCATAAAATAGTAGTTCAATAAAATTTTGAATATAAGTTTACAAACGTGATGACATGCCCTCTGACTCATAGCTACCCATATTCTTCTTGAGAAAATGCACAAGAAGATAAATATCAATACATAAATTAAAATGTAAACAACATGCAACATGTTGTGAAATGATATAATCTCATATAATGATACATTGCCTGTCTTCAAGCCTGCAATATATATATATATAATAACAGTTATGCACATATCTAAATCAATTGTACATTGCCATTAATAAAATTTTAATTTTTTAATACACATTTTCAGATGTAGGTGCTAATTGCTTTTAAATGTTTTAGTTATTTTTTGTTTTCAAACTGATACATTCAGCTGCAACAACATTCAGTGGCACTTTCCAACTAGTCATGAGTTATGTGTTAAGACCAGTGTTCAGTTGTTAGTGTGTGTGTATGTGTGCTTAATTGATTATGTTGCTGTATAAGTCAGTGGCACATTCCAATGACTTACACTGCATTCTTATGTAACCTTATTGAGGACCTGTGTAATGCAACATATAATAGTAACTCCTAATGAACTATATTCAATATAGTATGCAAATAAAATACCAATAACAAAAGTAAACAGTAAGTTCACAAAATGTGGCCATATTAACCCTGTACATTTTGCTATCCCCTTGGAGACAAATATCCGTTGTCTGCTGGAAGCTACTGTTACAATACTAGTACCTTGGCTTAATATCTGGATGTTAAGTTTAGAAGTTAGATAAACAAAAAAGCAAATAATAATAATACTAATATTCCAATTAATCCCACACAAAAAAAGTACTTTACCTAATTATTTTGGTCAGTTTTTTCACTGAGTATTTCAACAGACAAAACCATAAAATTGCTCAATATGATGCAATATGCAAACCCCACCAATGGTGAATAATATAAAAACAAGTTGGTGATTTGTGGATTAAGTTGTTCTGAAAGGCAAAATTTAGTAATTTCTTCACACTACATTTTCAGATCTGCCTTTTAAAGTTAAAGCTGATCTGTAATCTTTACAAAGAGTTTAAACTATATTAACCTATAGAAATAATTATATCATTTGAACTATAACATAAAAAAATCAGTTAATAGTTATTAATGCCCACCTATCACATTCTATCAGAATTTGCCAATAGTTCTCTCTGATGTGTAACAAGTAGAAAGCAGGTGTTTTAATCTGTCAATTGATGTATTATATTACATTGTTTTCTGTGCAGAGAATTGTCTATTTTGCTTCCAGTTCAAAATTTATTCCCACAGGAAACATGTCAATGAGATTAGCTGAATTTTTAACAGCTCTTATTGCATAGTTAGAAAACCAAACAAATTCTGATACTTATCAGATATTGTCTGCTTTTTACATATTATTTTTCTGTGTTCATAGGTGCATTATTTAATTAAATAAAACATTATTTTGTGTACTAGTACCATGAGTAGAAAAAAGTAGGATTAAGTTTCTTTGACAGTCGACAGCAGAAGAAAAAAGATCCACGTAAATATTATATTTCTTGTTTTGCATATGTATTCTTTATTTGTTATTATAAAAGCAAATAAAGTTTAAAAATTAGAAATTTATTTCACTAGATAAGATTAGGTTAGACAAAATAAAGAAAAAATAACATTATTAAAAAGTTTTTACGAGTAGCCTGTGTCTTACATAATTCGATAGGGTAACGTGAGCTACATGTTTGCCAAGTGATTTACAACTTATGTGCAGGATTATTTGTTAGACATGGTTCAAGGGGCAATAAAAATATATAATTTAAGTAAAAACAGATGTACTGTTATAAGATTTAAGCTATTTAGAATAAACAAATGTAGTTTCATGTTAGAATTTGGAGCCTTTCTAGAAAGTCAAATGGGTAATTTAGATTTGTTTTATTTTTTTTATGGTGGTTATGAGGTTGGTCAAATTAACCAACCTTGTGTAGAATTATGGTAGAGAAAATAACATAAAATACCAGGTTTTACTGAAAAACTGCATTTGAAATTTATTTAGTAGGTTCTCGGATTACGCAAATGAAATTTGACAATTTTCAGATGGAAAAAAAATATTTTTAATCTTAACATGAAAATCACTTTTCACTTGGAGCAGTCAACACTTTGACTCCATAAATTCATGGAGAAATTTTTTAGTAGAAATACTTCATTAAAAATTGTGATTTTGTGTCTATAAAAGACTTGTAATGCATACTGAAAGCTTGCAAAATTTCAAGAAGATACACAAAACGTATTAAAAGTTATAGCATGGAAACTCAAGTTCAATTTGGGGTCAAGGTTTTGGCCAAATCAACTGATCCTGTTGCAAGAGAGTTAAAGTGAACTAGTGTTTGAATCTTTTAAAATTAACGATTTGTTTTCAATAATCTATTAATTAGAGATGTTTGAATGAAAAAGTTCTTTTGTCAAGATTATGTAAAATGTTTGAAACTTTTGATATATTTTATAAACTTTTTAGCTGCATAAGTTTTTTCTAAAGTATCAATGGCATCATTATACTAAATAAAAGCAAATTGTATTAACTTATTTTTACTAGGTCGGCCAACAGAAATTTCTGAGAAAGATGTGTTTATTTGTGAGTCAAGGTACATGGAAAATGAACGTCAAATTCGTAAGCTTTCTAAAGGTTTAAAGGTTAGTTTATTTTCATCACCCTAACTTGCTAACTATTGTATCTGTGTTTTTTCTTTGCATGTTTTTTGTTCAGAGTAGAAACTTTAGCTTTATTACACTTTTTGAGATAACAACTATAGGAAGCTAGTGTTATACAGAAGAATCGACCTTATAGTGGTACTTTCTTTTTGGCCAAACTTATGAATTGTATTCATAATTTTTTAAGATATAAATAAGGAACCACACACACACATTCTATCTTAACTGAAACATAATTTTGGGACATTTAAATATAGTGGTGTTGATAGAAGAAAGATATTGTTTTTATTTTTAGAAACCAGTTCTCTCACCACAAGTTACAGAAGATGAATTTTATTTCTTCAGAAAGCCAATCAATCCTCAAAAGGTAAGTTTTTTTCCCTCATAAATGTGCTGATAATAGACTAGAGGCATAGGAATTAGTGGTGATACCTTGAGTAATAATAAAAAAAGGTAAATAACAGTAGCATTGTTAGCAGTATTGGTTGAAAATTTTCATCTTTTATAGGATGGTAATATTTTAGAAAACAGTGCTTGAACAAATTTTAATTTTGTAGAAATGTTGAAATCATTTTAAACTAGAGATCTCACACTTCATTTCCACAGTACAACACAAGTGTTATCTTGTGGTTTTCTTGCTATCTTTTCCATTCATTACATGATACATACATACACACACCCATTATCATTCTACAGTCATAAAATGCATTAAGAACTAGCCTTGGAAAATGCATATGTGAGTCTAATAAAGCATGTAGTATAGGTGCACTTGTGCTGAACAAACACTGCACCACATAGTTTGGGCATGTTATGTAGTATTAGTCTACAAACATAGCTCATATCTAATTATGTGAATGATAGTGGTTGGTTAGTTTGATTCCTTGTGCCTACTGTTGTGCTGTTGGTTGCATCTATTTTTGTGTATAATGGTCATGGCTTTTAAAATGTTAGAGCTGCTTTGTGGGATGTTAATCTGCAGTTTTATGTATACAGGCAGTATGTAGATCTGCATTTTTAATTAAAAATCCGATTAACTCTTTTCAGACTAGAGCCACAGAAGTGATTGTTAATTACATGCTTCTGTAAAACTCAACTATTTCATAGTGTGTTTTTTTTTGTTTTTTGTATTTGATATACTGTCACTTTTGTGGTTACAAAACATGATCATTGATAAACCTTTAGTCAAGTTTTAAATTTTTTTTAAATATATTGTTTATAAAAAATTAAAAACCAGTACAAGTAGGTGTGTATTGCTATGTGGTTACACTGCTAGCACTGTGCTCTGGTCTATAGTTGACTTTATTTGTGGCTGTGCTAGAGCTAATAGCTCAATCTTGAGGAAAGGTGTTCTTGTAACTGAAACAAAAACTATTAATCCATTTGGCTGAAAGCAAGAGAAGATGGAGTCCTTATAATCCATGGCAATAAGATCTATGAAGTTGGCATAATGTCATGAAAACATGGATTAGCAGCTTAATCCAGTCATAACTGTCACCATATTTGTTATATAAAAAAGCATTGTTTTTTGCTACAGTACAACCTACTGTACATATACGTTTCATATTTTGGGTCAAAAAATCCTATTTAGGGTTAGGAATTTAGCAGTTGCAACTATTCAAAATCAAGTTTTTGATAATGATGAAAATAGTAATATCTGTAGCCATTGGTTGCAGAAATAAGAGTGAGAAGATATTTCTGAACACATTGCTTATATTGCTGATTTTTTTATGTGCAAGTTGGAAAAAGTACTGAATTGCAAAACACCTTAAAATAAGCAATATTAGGATTGCTTTACAGCAGGCTTGTTCTTTTTAAACACCAATGGTTAAATGTAGCTTTAATTGTCTCATTTTCCAAAGTAGCATTTAACAGAGGTACAGATGAGTTAATATTAATTTTCTTAATAGGATCTAGACTATATTTAAATTAGTATGCACATAAACATGTACATTTCCATTCAATCTTGAGTGTAAACATTTTTTTTTAAATATAAATGTAATTTAATTTCTACTGATATATAATTTCTAAATCAAAATGAGCACCAGTACTTAATTTTATTTTGTCTTGGGCACAAATTTTTCACTTATTATTTTGAAAATTTTGGATGTGGAAGTTTATGTACAAACACCTCATGCTGGTGTTCTGCTGTTATGTTATTCAGACTGTATAATAGTATTTCCATGCTTTGATTTTATGTTGTTATAAACTTAAAATGTATATGTGTATTGTTTTTTCTTAAATTAAATCTGAGTTTAATATCTTAAAGCACAATTTGTTTAAAGTCCAGTACATTCATTGCTGCATAAACCATTTAAATTGAATAGTATTTGTAAAGTTTAAATATTATTTCTGTTGAATGTGGTAATATTTATATGTGTAACAGTAAACAATTTTCTGAAACTGCCTTCTAAATCATTACTTTCCATTTACAGTAGCTTTCAAGTAACATATTTCATTCATTTCAGAATTAATTAAAATAAAAAATTGCTTTTTTTGAACTAACACAGATGGTAGCATAGTTATGCCCTCTAGCTTCAATAGTTCATACTGTAAGACTAAATCACACCACCTCCCCTACCTTTTACATCAATGTTATAACCTATGAGGTTGAAGAGAAATCATTCAAACAATATCTGCCAAAGAATAGGCTAGTTTATTAGATCATATGATAAAGTTCGGGCACCTCTGCTAAATGGATCATATTTTACAGATCTTTTTGATACAGAAAATAGATTGTTGAATAGGAAATAATTAGACAAATAAGATAGTGTCAGTTAGGTTTCTCAATGTCAGAAATTTGGGTCATCAAGTACAAAATGTATACTAAATTGATTTTCATTATTTTCAGTGTGTTTATGTTTAAAATATTAATTACTTTTTAGCTATGATAGCTAGAGACAAGAAAATACTCTAAGAACACACAGCTAGTGGAAAACTTTCTTTGTTTTATTCAACAACATTTACTGTATTAACAGAAATTACTTGAGAATTTAGAATTTCCTGTTTTGGGTCAAAAATCCATTATAAGGTTAGGAATGTAGCAATTTGCTTCTGTTTTTTTTCAGGAAAAATTTGACATCACAATTTTTTTCAGTTTTTTTATTTTGATTATAGTTTCAGCAGGGAGAAAGCAGTGACATTTTAACAAAGTAAAGGAAGATAGGTTTTTGTTTTGTTCAAAAACTTTGCTATATTGACCAAAATGATCGCAATTCTGAATTTCTTGTTCCAGAAAAATCTGATATAGAGTTTAGCAGTTTTTCTATTTTTATAAAATATCAAATAAAACTTTGAAATAGTGACATTTGTTCAGTTTTTATATTTTATTTATGACTTCACTGAAGAGAAAATAAGGACATTTTAACAGCATAATGTCGAGCCTGTGTTCAAACAATTATGAAAACTGCCAGGTTCAAAAGGATTAAAAAAATAGAATTTTGCATAAACGTAAAATCTGTTGTCATTTAAAATTTTGTTTTACTTTGATACAAATTTGGTGGATAATATTCTGCTAAGGATTATACAGTAATTTTAAAAAATAAGAATTTTCTGATTATTGTTCTGGTTTATATTTTGTGCCTGATGCAGTGGCATTTATAGTTTTGTAAGTGTATGTGTTTGCTTTGTGCTCATAAAGGAAACATTGCTTTCATAAAGTTTTCTTATTGGCTGGATATTGTTCCAAGTTATCAGTCACTTAAGTTTCAAAATGATATCTAACCAGTACCTTTATGTATAAACATTTGAAATTGGTTTGAATGTGGTTGTGTCCAGCATGAAAAAGTGGCATTGTTACAAAACTGGTGTATTGCAGAGTGATGTTCGTAGTGGAAACAACGTTCGCAAAACTCTACCATCAAAAGTATTGAGCACAGTTGTGAGTACAATGCCAGCTCCTCTAGAATGTTAGTAATTATGTAATTTAAGTATGAGCTATATCAGTAACCTTATTAACTGGCCTAACCCTTCTTTTAATATATGTTACTACCAAGTATGTGATTTAGATGTGTTTTAAGAGTACTGTTTTAATCATTTTTGTACTTACTTTGCCTTTATTCCTGCATCACGTTTTTTTTCTTATCTCACCAGTATCAGAATGCCATTTAATCGTCTCACAACCACAGTCTAACCATCTGAAACTAACTTTATTAACTTTATAAACTGTGATACCTGAGTGTATATATGGATATAGATAAAGAAATTGCCATAATCTGGATATTATTGCTGTACATGAATTTTGAAATTGTTTTATATTTTTGCATGAAAGTTACTTTTGTTCAGGATTTGTTTTGTGTTTGTGTGTGTGTATGTGTGCATTTAACAATTCATTATGCAGCCATAGTTAAAAAAAATAAGTTATTGTAAGATTTTAGTATAATGCTCATTTTTTTATTTATCTGATCATTGCAATAGGAAATGTCTCCACTGATGTATAGAGCTGGTATTGAAACCGATAATGAAGAATCTAATGACATTCCTCCTCCTACCACTCCCCGAGATGACCAAGAATCAATGTCCACTCCATTGTCCACCACTAAGAAGGTAAGGCTACTCCAAGGATTGGGATCAACTCCAGTGTCAACAACTAAGAAGGTAAGAATAATCCAAAGAATTTTATTAACTCCAATGTTGGCCATAAGTAGGTCAGGGCCTAAAAATATTAACTCCATCTGTGTTGAGAGTAAGAAGGCAAGGACTCTAACAAATTAAATTAATGATAACAGTTTCAACCATAAGAAGATAAGAACTCAATTGAACTAGCTTTGTTGGAATCAATTACAAGAAGATAAGGACTTTTATAAAGAATTAAATTAACTACTATAATCAACTATAAGAAGGTAAGGACTAAAGTTTCCATTTTCAGTGTTAATTAGCATAAGACAAGAACAGGAAAGAACTAACTACATCAGAGTTAACTCTTTAAAAATAAGTTCTGTAATAAATTGATCATTGTCAACTGTAACAAGGTAGGGACTTCAAAGAATTGAACTAACTATTGGTGCTAACCGTAAGAGGATAAATTCATGAGAGAATTAACTTCATAAGAGTTACACATGAAAAGATGGGGAGTTCAAAGAACTGAATTAACTTGATTGGTGTCAACTATAAGAAAAAGAGAACTCTGCAAAACAACTCTATTAGTGTTGATCTTATTAGAACATGAAGACTTGAAGGAAGTTAACTTCATCATTGTTCATCACAAAAAAGGTGAGAAGTCAAAACAATTGAATTAACTCTATTAATGTAATACATAGTTCAATTAATTTGTTGGATGATAACAATAAGAAGGTAAGCACTTGAAAGAAAATTCAATCTTAAGAACATAAAGAATTGAATTTAGTTCATTGTTGACAAAAGGGTGTAAAGGATTCAAAATACCTCTATTAACTCAACAATGCCAGCCATAAAAAAGTAAAGACTTTACAGAATTAAATTCACTGTCAATTGTAAAAAAAATTATAGCAGAATAGAAATGACTATATATAAAATGGAAATATGAAAGAAATAGTTTTAATTGTCATTAGCTGAGAAAATGTACATTTGATGTTAAGAAACAATCATAAAAAAAAACGTGTTTATCAACAGTGATAAAAAAAGAGTTACAGTAAAACCTGCATCCCAGACATTTCACTTACATTTCACTAGTATGAAGGAGTGAATAGATGTAAAACATTCAGAACTTTCTTGTATTGTGGAAACAATACAGAGATCATCACAACTATCTGGTAACTAAAGTAAGAAGACATTTACAAACAACTTTGTCAGGGGTGTCACTGAAAGAGGGTGGCTGAATCCCTTTTTGGACCACAACTAAACATTAATTCCAACAGCTGCCATAGCTTGTTGCAAGTTAACATTGAAACCAATATTCGTAGCACATCCATAACATATTCAAATGCAATGAATGGCCAGTGTCGTGTTTCTTAGTTCAATGTGAAAAGGTAAGTAACATACTAACCAAGCAAACGCTGTACTGTAAAATCCTCTTCTGGTCTTGATAAATTCTTCATATTTTCATTTATTCTAGAGCAACTAAATAGGCTTCAGAAGGATGTGGCTGTTTGTTCACACCTACTTACTCCTAACCAAACCAATTCAGTATAGTGCTTAAACTGAAGGATTTAAATGACAATATGTCTACTGTAAATCATATAATAAGGTGAAAGATAGCTATTAAAAAGGGATTTGCATATGTATAATTGTGGCATACATATAAGCTTCCATTAACAAATGAGTAGGTAGTGTTCAGTTTGTTTAATATCTGAATGAATAGTTATTTTATCACAAATTGTTTATCCTTGAGGTTTGGTCATAGTACATGCAGTTTTACATGTGTGCATATATAGATAGATATACATGGATACATATCTAAGAAAGATCTGCCATGACCAAAAATGACCCCACCCCATCCGCAACTCCTAGAATACACTTGGGATATCCACACTGATGGAAATGTTATGAAGGACAATTTGAAGACTAAGTCTTGCTGCAGTACATCGAGAAATAATGCTTTATACATGTACTCATCATTACATTGTTTATAAAGAATTAGTTTGTGTTAGATATCAGTAAATTGTGTTTGTTTGTAT